CCCTGCTCCTTTCTCCTTCCTTCTCCCCTTGGAGCGGGTGGGATGGGTGTTTGGGGTAGCACTGGGGTGAGTTCCCCCAAGGGGGGGGAAGCTCCGCCGTGCCCAGATGTGACCCCAAGCAGGACCCCGAGGGGGGCAGAGGCACCTGGTGAGGGTTTCCCAAGGCCACAAGCAGGGGAGATTCTTTTTTTTCCCTTCCTCAAATTAATGTTTTTGGGTAAAGTGTGTGGGTTCTCCAGATAGAGGGGTTGTGCTGTAGCCTTCCACCTCACCACACCCAGGCCCACAACCCACCTCCCATGCCACTAATTAATGCTAATTAAACTTCTCAGAACATAATTAGTCACCTCTTTTTTTTCTTGATTTTGCCAGGTTTGCTGATCTGGGCGCCTACTTCCTCCAGCTGTTGGGTTGAGGTACCAATCACCACAGCCTTTCCAGGTCCCCATTCCCAGTTTCCCAAGCTGCTCTTCCTCAGTGTATTTATCCTCTTGCATCCAACCCATTCGTAATTGCTGAGCCTGGGATTAGCAGCAAAATCTCTCTTTCCTGCAGATGAAGGGGAAGAGCCTGTTCTCCCATGGAGATGCAGCATCAGCAGAGCTTCCCGAGTGGCTTCTCCCAGCATGTGCCACCATGCCTGGATGTGACCACGCTAACGCTGCGGCTACCCCTGCCCTCCCCCTCCTTGCCCCAGGAGCCTGGGCCATCCCTGGAACCTGCCTTTGCCACCCGTCCCTCCTCCGAACACCCCGGGAGAGGGATGGGGATGGACACGTGGGGCTGTGCACCTCTGGCACGGGGTATCCCCGCTTTCCCCCTCCCCTGGCACCCTCGGCGTCGGAACGAATTGCTGATCGCTGCTACCACCGGACATTTTTGGGGCAGTTAATTGCCTCTCGCAGGTGGGAAGAGCATGAGAGAACGATTTCTGGCGGGAGGGGGGTGGGCTGCATTGTCTGCTGCTAAGTATAGCCTCCAGATTCCATCCTTGGCCTATAAAACCCCCCAGATTTTCCTAAAACCAGCTGTTGAATGTTTTTTTGGCACAAGCCAGCTCTGCTGCCCAGGGGGGAGAGGCTGTCCCCTCCCTGTAGGCTTTTAGCAAAGGCGACTACCCCCAGCTACGCTTTTAAACTCATTCCCCCCTGTTTGAAGGCATTTGATGG